TCCATGAATAGCTACCCCCATAACCCCAAGAAGGCATCGAGGAACGAAGTATTCGGATAATACTTTGCTTTTGAGACTCTGCTAAGCTCCCAATTATCTTTGTGGACGAGCCTCCAAGCTTGCTTCCCGAGTAATGCATCGTTAAACACCTCCAAATCTTTAAATCCCATACCTCCCAAACATTTCGGAGCACACATAAAATCCCAAGCTTTCCAATGTATCTTTCTTTGAGCATTCCGTTGACCCCAAAAGAATCTAGCCATAACCGATTGAATACTATGACTAACCGAACTAGGAAATTTATAGAATCCCATTAAATACGTTTGAATGGCTTGTATGACTGATTTAAGAAAAATTTCTTTTTCGGCTCTTGAAAGAAGTTTTTCCTTCCAACCCTTTAACTTCTTCCAAATTCTATCAGTGAGCGCCTCAAAAATGGCTTTTTTCGACCTCCCTATCACCGTGGGAATTCCTAAGTATTTACCATGCCTCTCCACCTGTCTCACGCTCAGAACCCCCATCAAATCCCATTTTTGCTCGTCACTAACTCCACTACTAAAGGAAACCTCCGACTTCTCATAATTAATTTTTTTCCCGGATGCTACTTCATACTGGTTGAGTATATCAACTATAACTTCGCATTCTCGTCAGTTCCCTGTAGCAAACAATAAACTTTCATCGGCAAACAAAAGATGGGAAATAACAGGGCCACTCCTACTCACCTTAGCACCATGTAACACCTTTTCCTTGACTCTGTTATTCAACATATGAGAAAAAGCATCGGCAACTAGAATAAACAGATAAGGAGAAAAGGGATCACCCTGACGGAGCCCCCGGGTTGGGGTCACCGAACCACATACTCTTCCATTAATAATAAAAGAGTATGAAACAGACATAACACAGTCCATAATCAAGTTTACCCACCTACCGTCAAATCCCATAGTGAGTAACAACTTCCTCAGAAAACTCCACTCAACCCGATAATAAGCCTTGCTCATATCAAGTTTAAGGGCCATCGTACCCTTTCTACTCCGACTCCTTTCTCCATAGTGTGAAAAATTTCAGGAGCAATAAGCGCATTATCCAAAATCAACCGACCCGGAACAAAAGCACTTTGATTTTCTGTAACTATACCAGGAAGAATGGACTTTAAACGAAGTACAATAGCCTTTGACACAAGCTTATATAATACATTGCAAAGACTAATGGGCTGGAATTCAGTCATACACGTGGGCTTATCAACTTTCGGAATCAAAACAACATTAGTTCTATTAACGGAAAAATTACCATGTAATACGCTACTCACAAAATTTGCAACTTCGCTCCCAACTATGTGCCAAAATTTCTAGTAAAAGATTGCATGAAGACCGTCAGGTCCCCGAGCCTTATATGGGTGCATTTGTCTCAGAGCCAAGAAGATCTCCTCCTTCGTGTATGGTCTAAGCAACGCTGCATTATCAGTCTCAGAAATGACTGATTTAACATGGTTAAGCACAACATCCACATTATCCTCTGAAGGGTCGGTGGTAGTGAACAAATTCGAATAGTAGTCACAAACAATTTTTTCAATGCTCTTCTCATCTTTCTGCAAAACCCCATCAGCATCTAAGAGTCCTTCAATCCGATTTTTCTTTTTTCTTTGAGAGGCTTTATGATGAAAGTAACTCGTATTTCGATCTCCATCCCATACCTCTAACACCCTAGACCTCAAAAACCAATAAGCTTCATGTTTCGAGTGAAGGTCGTCTAAAGTAGCTTCGAGGGACACACGTTTCTCACAATTTGCACGTGAGATGGGCTACTGTTGGAGCTCTTTAAGAGCACTCTCTGCCTTCTCAATCTTACCCCCAATATCATCAAAATTCTTTTTACTCCATTTCATCAACTCACCCCCCATAATGCTCATTTTCATCATGATATCGCTGCACACATTTGAGCTCCAAGCTTCCTTAATCACAGCTTCACCAGAGTTGTCTAAGAGCCACACGGTCTCAAATTTGAAGCTCTTTTTCGGTATCTTTTGCTGCCTTTCTCTAGGCTTAGTTCGAACCACTATGGGAGTATGGTCCGATCTATGCCTTAGTAAATGCTCGACATAAACATCAGGGAATAAGTCCGGCCAAGAAGGGGAAGCCAAAAATCGATCTAGCCTCTCTCGAACACAAGTGTCGACTGAGTTCTAGGGATGGCAATTTAATTCGAGTTCGATCCGAGTCCAATCTGATCCAAGGAATAAAGTCCGACCCAAGTCCGAAATAATGAAATTCGAGTTCGAATCCGATAAAAAAACTCCGAATCCGAATAGGATTCGGATCGGAGTCGGACCTTATATAGCATCCGACCAAGTCCGACCCGAGTCCGACCCGCGAGTTTTACATGGAGTATAAATTTATTTTACCCTACTTTTTGTACCCTTCCGCCACTTTTCCTCAACCATTCAACCTCAAGGCCTCAATTTTTCCTCTCATCTTTCCTAATTCCTCTCCTTCCTCTCTCCTAACCCCCTTTCTCTCTCCTCAATTTTCTCAGAACTACTCCATTTGTTTGAGAGTTTTTTGTCAACTACTCCAATTATCAATCAATAAGAGAAATCTAAGCCAAAGTAATAAGAACTTGTGAACAGTCTCTCATCATCTATTATGAAGTAATTTTTGTTTTTTGTATGGTGGTTTGATTTCACACCACTTGTTTCACTTGAAGATGTGAAGACCGAAGCCAAGAAAAACCTTGAAAGTTCTCTGTTTCCCTAAGTAATTTGGGTAGAATTGAAAGTTCTTGGAGTACGAGTATTTATTTTTATGTAGATCTGAAATTTATTTAATTTTTTTATAATTGTTCAAGTGATAATCATTATTATTTTTAGGATTTTTTGTATATCACCACCCCTAAAAGTACTTAATATTGAAATAAGTACCCGTTTTTTTTCGAAATTAAAAAATACCACCCCTTAAAGTCAAAATTAGTAGATATCACCACTCTTCTCCTATTTTAGCTAGTTTTCCGATTTAGGCCAATCAGATTTTCGATTATAAGGTCCACAAAATGTTAAATCGAAATTACATTATACGAAGTAAAAATTACCCCACCCACCCCTGCCACCTCCGATAACCGGCAACTCTACCACCTCCGGCGTCTCATTCCTCAATTTCATCTCAGACATATTCGTGGATCCATTCCTCTTCCTTCCTTCAATCTCTTTGTATTTATACCTTCATACTCCGCACCCCATCTTTTCTCTTTCCTCCTCCTCTTCCATGGCTTTCTCCTCTTCTTAACTCCTTCACTCACCCCCCTTTTCTCAGATTTATTCTCAACTCTTCACATTTCTCTCTCCTAGGATTTCCATCCAATTTCCCTTTCCCCCCTCTTCAATAATAACTTCGATTCGACCAGATCTGACGGCCACCTCTTGGTGGGGTTTTGCGGTTGGGGCTTGGTGGGGTTCGCTAGCAGAAGGAGTGGGTGATTGGGGTGGGGGTGGTCCAGCAGGTGGCTGATTTGGGTGGGTTGGCAGGAGATACGAGAGGGGGCGGCTGCAAGGGGCTGGGATTTGGGGGATTTTTTTATACAAAAAAATTTCATTTAATTTTAATGATTTAATTTAGCAATCACGTGGTGACACGTGTATCCTAAATCGGAAAATTAGTCGGAATAAGAGAAGGGTGGTAATATCTACTGATTTTGACTTTAAGGGGTGGTATTTTTTAATATCGAAAAAAACGGGTGGTTATTTCAATACACGGTGCTTTTAGGGGTGGTTATTTAAAAAAAATCCTTATTTTTATGTGTAAAAATTAAATTCTAAACTTCTGCAACCCCTCTATTTGTATTTTTTCTAATTTTGATCTAAGAAACGGAAGAAATTTGTAATTCTGATTTAAGAAACGGAAGAAAATAATGTTTGGAAAACGGACATGGATTCGGAGTCGGAGGAGGTCGAGTCCATCGGATTCGGTTTCGGGTTTTATATAAGCGGAGTCGGATCCGGAGTCGGATTCGAACTTTAGGTCCGTTTAGTAAACGGATCGGATTCGGACCCTACACAGTCCGACCCGAGTCCGAGCCATTTCCATCCCTACTGAGTTCCCTCATTCCTAAGTTCACCATAGCCCTTCGAACCCAAGGTTCCTCAATTCACAAATGTCCACTGTTTCTCTAAATTTTGCAATTTCACTACGGTCTCGATTCGATCCCCCTTCCTTCTCTTCATATGACAATAACTCATTGAAGTCCCCACCAAAAATAATTGGCACATTGATATCCTTACACAAATGTTCAATAAGAGCCCACATACGAAACTTGTTCCCACTATCCGGCCATCCATAAATCCCTACAAATCTCCAAATCACCCCTCCTTTTTTCACATCACCAAAAATATGATTTTGCGAAAAAGACAAAAGAGTAAAATCAGTCACATCTTCATTCCAGAACAAACAAAGTCCCCCCGATTTACCTCGACTAGCCACCCCAAAAGCATTAGAGAAACCAATTCTCTCTTTTTTCATCTCCACCGCTTCCTTGCTAATCATAGTTTCCGAGATAAAAACTAGATCAGGGGCAATACGCATACTCCACTTTCGGAGTTTTCGAACTGTCTCAGGGTTTCCCATCCCTCGACTGTTCCAGCATAAAAGACTCATAATGCTTGACGGGGTTGGTCAGAGCCAACCTCCGTCGAAATTTCAGGTTGAACAACTTGAGAACTGATTAACCTCCTCTTCCCTCCTCCAAGGTCCACCAAATTTGAATCCGAAATCACTTCCCCTGTACCCCTCTTTTTACGAACCTCAAGTAGAACCCCTCTCCCATCATCAACGTCCATACCTCCCCAGCCAGCTCCTTCTCCCTTCTTTTCCATGACCCCTTCTGTTTTACAGTATTCACAACATAAGGTACTGTCACATTGCTCTCTACATCAACTTTGCCCCTATTATTCAAAATTCACCACCTTATCAAGAGTGCCCATAGATTGCACCTGAGTGCTCAAACTTCTGCATTAACTACCTACACCCTCTCTTCGTCCAAAACACCCCCATTTGCCCCTCCTTCAGACTGATCGGCTTTGGAGTGACACCATTAGAAACCTCCTCCTCCCCTTTCGTCACAAACAACAGCTTGCGGGCAGCAGCAATCGGAGCGACTTCCTCTGTTTCTTTGGCAAAACCTCTCCGTGGAGAGACCTTCAAGAACATGCCCCAGCCCAATTTATTGCTCTTTCCTTCCTTGGGGATGGCCACACAATATTTCTCAGAGTGACCCATGATTCCACACGCAAAACAGAAATAGGGGAGTCGTTCATACTTAAACTCTATTTTGACCTTGTTACCACTCTTGTCTTTCATCCATTGATAGCGTCTAAGGGGTTTTTGCACATCGATTATTATACAAACTCTCCTATAGCGATTAAGTCCCAAAAAATCATCCTCCAATTCCAACATCTCTCCCAAATTAGCAGTTAGGATTTTTAGGTCATCATTCGTTCGACAATTAAAAGGTAGATTGCACACCCTAATCCAGAACGGTAAGTGCGTGAGGGTAACACCCTTAGGCTGTTCATCTCCAGATCCCTCTTGCAGCATTAGTAAATTGTTCTCCCAACACCAAGGTCTACCTTTCAACACATTCTCTCTATCTTTCCAGTGAAAAAATTGAAACGCATATAGATTATGTCCAATTACTCTAATCACAAGGTTATGCAATGGCTCCCATACCTTTGTCATCGTTCGTTTAAAAGCCTCCACATTATAGGGTCTATGTGTGAGAAGCTTTCCAACCAGAAATACAGCAAGATTGTTCGGAGTTTCTGATTTTTCTTCACCTCCTAAATCCACAAGATCATTCTCCTTATCCTCAAGGCTGAGGGATGAGCACTTGGTTGCGAGTTCATCGGCCATGGTCGAGGAAAACGTCAAAGACGGAGATATGACTTTTCTTTCGAAGGAGAGAACCCTATCTTTCGAGGGAGTTTCGACTCCAGTTATACAACAAATAATTTTGTTTATGTATACCTATGTACAGTGCACCCACTCAATCACACTCAATCGCTATCACACGCAAGACGCAACTCCACTCCCTCTGTCTCAGTGCTCTCATACTAACTCCATTTCTGTCAATCCATTCCCTCCACCACCGTCTCCACCCAAATGTGTCTCCCCAAAACCAAACCCAGTGATGATTATCTTTTACGTTGAATCATAATCGAATAAAGCGAAAGTGTGAAAAGTCTAGTGATGAGGATGTTTTTATTAAAATATCTCTTCTTTTTTTTTTGAAAATATTTCTTTTCTTACTTTATTTATGAAAAACGTACAATCCAGTTTAGTTTGGTCTGTGATAAGGGTCCAATAATAGTGTAGTTAGATAGGGTTTGAAAAAACTTTTCCAATGATATATTATAAGCCCAATTCCGATGAATAATGAGGAAGTTATGGCCAGAATACTAAACTGGGCCCGGTTTGGTTTTTATATGCGACCCAATGATCTAGAGGAGGGCCTATTATTAACTATCATTCCTAAAGCTATTAGGATTTATTATAGTCTTCTAGAATATTCTAGAATGTTCTCTTAAATCCTAATGGAGTTAGGATTGATAATTATGTTTCAAAGAGTTTGAAATTGAATAGAACTACTCCTTTTTAGAATCCTTGTTTTGTACGAAGTGGAATATATTCAGATTTTATTTTCATGCCTCATAATCTTTATCCAAATTTTATATGGTTGGATAGATCTTGAAATTATCTTTCCAATGATATATTATAATATTAAATCTGAGCTATAACAAAAAAGATATGAATGCGATATGAAACTCTATCCAAAACCGACACCCTTCCACTATTTCGGCTATATCTTTTTATCTACAAAATATTTTAATTTTATTCTAATTGTATTAAAAAAATTATACTTCAAGATCTTTCCAACGATATATTATATGACTTATTAGGAATTCTGGATCAAAAGATATGATAAAAACAAAATCTGCGAAAATTGTCTTACAGCGCCGGACGACAGGTTTGGCGCCTAGCGACAGGCGCGTGTTTGACGACAACGTCGTTTTTATTCTTTTCGAAACTCTGATTCGTTTTTTATTATATCCGGATGATTTTCTCTATAAATAGCCTCCTAAAACCTCCGTTTTCAATCATCAATTACTAATTTTCATTAATAATCACCAACTCTCATCAAGAAATTCTTGATATCCTCTCTCTCTCTCTTTTCTAAACTAGCCTTTTGCATACAAAATTCCGCATTCACAAGATCAAGAAACACCTAGCCAAGTTTGAAATTGCCTTCGCTCTAGACGTGAAAGGTTTTAATTTCTGAGGGTTTGGTCCAAAATCTCTATTTCAATTATTTAATTTAATAGTTTGTTTATTATTTTCCTTGAAGTTACTAACGCGTGTATATTGTTATTAGAATGAGGTACGAGGCATCCAAGTAAGTGCTTTAATTGATTTATTGATATTATGATATAGAAATCATGTTTAGATTGTTATTTTGATTCCTAGTATCATGTTAGGATATTTTATTGCTTCTTAGTATCATGTTTAGGGTGATTTGCTTATATTAGTTATGATTTCTGTGATGTTTCCTATTTTTTTTCCTAATATTCATATTAGTATCATATTAGGGCTATGTATTTGATCTTTATTGTTTAGTGACATGCTAGGATTTGTTATTAATCTTATTAATATCATGCCTAGAATCTTGCTATTAATATTATGCTTTAACATGGTTATGATAATTATGATTATGATAATCACTAGTAGAAAAATACAAAAAGGCAACCCCCAAATGGCACCGGTTCAGGCCAAACCGGTACCAAAAACCGGCCTAAAAATGGGCGGGTTTTTAGACAAAGAGAAATGGCACCGGTTCAGCTCAAACCGGTGCCAAAAATACAAAAGGCACTGGTTTGAATCGGTGCCAATCCTTCAAAAAAAAAAAACCGGCCTTTTTATTTATTTATTTTTATTCCATTTATATTGTTATAGCACTCAAACCCTAAGCTATTTCACTCACATTCTCACTTATATTTTCGCCGCACTCATTCTCTCTCTCATCCCTTTCTCTTTCATCTGCTCTTAATCTCATATCCTCTTTCAATCCCTTTCTCGTTCTCTTTCAATCCCTTCTTTCAATCCCTTTCTCGTTCTCTTTCAAACCCTTTTTTCAATCAATTTTGATTTTTTTTATCGATTTCTCGGTTTTTTTTTTTTTACGATTTCAATTTTTTTTTTCTGGGTTTTTGATTTTTCTTTCAATTTCAATTTTTTTTTCGATTTCAACTATTTTGATTTCTGGGTGTTTTCGATTTGTGGATTTTTCTGGGTTAATTTTTTTGATTTCGATTTTTTTTTTCTATTTCTGGGTTTTTTTTTCGATTTCGATTGTTTTTTTTTTTCGATTTTGATTTTGTTTTTCGATTTCTAGGTCAATTTTCGGTTACAATAATTGATTTTGGGTTAATGCATGCGTTTTTGGGTGTTTTTTTTTATGGGTTTGTTCGAAGTTGATTATTTTGGGTTAATACAAGTTGATTTGGGTTTTTTTTCGGTCGAATTTTTGTGATCTGTTAATTTTGGGATTTTTGTTTGTTTTAGTGGGTTTCTAGTACCTAGAAATGTGTCAAAGTTGCAAGATTTGTTCTGGGTTTGTTGATTTTTTTTTCTTGATTTAGATCCGTTAATTATCTTCTATTATTACCCTCAATCTGTGTAGAAATTTTGGATTTTATTTGAATGGCAACTGGCAAGTCATTTTTTAACTGATGTTCAATTCTGGGTTCAATTTTGGTTTTTATTTTCTGGGTTCAATTTTGGTTTTTAACTGATGTTCTGGGTTTTTATTTCTTTTCAACTGATTTTCTTTTTTATTTTTCGATTTAAATTCGATTTTTTTTTTATTTTCTGAGTTTTTTTCCTGATTTTCGATTTTGGTTTTTAATTTCTGGGTTCAATTCTGGGTTCAATTTTGATTTTTAACAGATGTTTTGGTTTTTTTTTTCTTTTCAACTGATTTTCTTTTTTATTTTTTGATTTTTTTTTATTTTATTCGATTTAAATTCGAAATTCTTTAATTTTCTGGGTTTTTTTTTTCCTGATTTTCGATTTTGGTTTTTATTTTTTGGGTTCAATTCTGGGTTCAATTTTGGTTTTTAACTGATCTTTTGGTTTTTTTTTTCTTTTCAACTGATTTTGTTTTTTATTTTTCGATTTTCTAGTTTTTTTTTAAAAAAAAATTCGTAGCTTTATTTAATCATTTTAATTGATTTATTTTTGTTGTTTTAATTGGTGCAGGTACATGGATTTAGATCTTAAATCAAAGAATCAAGATGCAATTATATTGATTTAGATGTTGTATGTTTTTTTTTTTTTTTTTTTTATTGTGAAGTTGTAATATTTTTTTTTATTTATATGTTGTAATTTTTTAATTTTGATTTATATGTTGCTATTTTTTTTATTGACCTATACTGTAAATTTTTGTTGATTATATATACATTGAACAGAGTATATTATATTGATTGTGATGTTCGATTTTTTTTTATTCTCATTTTATTTTTGTTTATTTAATTTATAAGTAAAAAAAATGTATATATTTTTTGGCACTTTTGGCACTGGTTAACCGGTGCCAAAAGCAATGAATTAACGTGTTTTGGCAACGGTTCAAACCGGTGCCAATGTAGGGAGTGCCAAAAAATGGTTTAAAAACAAACCGGTGCCTTAGGTCGGGTTTGAACCGGTGCCAATTTCATTTTTTCACGTAGTGTATGATTATTATTATTGTTGTGTCGTATAATATAATTTCAAGTAATTTGTTAATTAGCGAATTGTTTCACGCAATTTGTTAATTTACGAATTATTTTACGTAATAATCTTGTTTAGGGTTAATATGATTATAATTCAAGTGATCGCAAATAATAGTTTTATTTGTGCCTTAATATTCAACCAACATAGATAAACAGGTTTATGGTAAACCTATTGATTGCATGTTAGTCAGAAAGCGTATATGAATACGATCAGAATAAAGTAGAGGTCTATTATTAGGGCAGGTTCAATCTCTTTTAAGTTGTATGTTTGGAATAATGCTTGAAATATTTTCTACAACCACCGTTTGCTCTTCAAAATGTCTGCATTTAACCTTCCATTTTTTCCTTCATCACCGGCCACCTCGAAGGATGGCTTGGGGTTTCCTCCGAGGAGGCCACCGACCACATCCATAGCCGCTCCCCCTCTTCCACCGCCACTACCGATGTTCCCATACACATTTTTGACTCGCCGGGTCGTGAAGAAGAATGAGAGGAGACTGTCGGAACGTGTTTCCATACCAAATAGTAGGTTTAGATTTCCCTCCCCCTTAGGGTCGTTTATTCACCGGGGCTCGCTTTGGTTGCTCCCAAGTAGCCCCCGGTGGTTAGAGAAGGAGATGAAGGAGGAGATGGCGGAGGAGAAGATGGAGATGAAGGAGGAAATGGAGGAGGAGGAGATGGAGGAGATCGATGAAGGAGAAATTTAGTTTACTTTTTGTTTGTTATGATAGAGTACCTATTAGTGATCGGATGATTTGGAAATATTTTTTTTGGAGGGTAGTCGGAATTTGTATTTGGTGCACTTTTGTTCATTAGTATTGGTCTATTTTTGAGATTACTGATTTTCTGATGATTATGAAGAATATTATTATGTAACTAGAGCGTTTAATCTTGGTTTCTATCAATGTGAATTGTTAAAATTTATGTTGTTAAATATAGAGAAATATATGAGAGAATTTTATTCAGTGTATACTTTCCATCTGTTACGGGATATATATATATATATATATATATATATATATATATATATATATATATATATATATATATATATATATATATATATATATATATATATATATATTCTAA